TCAATTCGCAATCCCGCATCATACTTATTTTGCTAATTTTTTGAGGGTTTTCCACGCTTGGTATACCCATTCGATCCGAGGTTTGGTGTAAAAAGACCTCTACATACAAAGGTTTAAGTCTATTGGGTTCCAATTCGGGCAAGCCTGGTTGCCCATGTGTATAGCCTGTCTAACCTGGCCTGATTGAGTGCATGGCCTGGCACGCTGCCGGGCCGCACTGGCACATGACCGAGCATATGGCCAGGCGCGTGGTCAAGCACATGGGCGCGGTGTTGGGCTGCACGAGCGTCACGCCGTGCCGCACGGGCAAGGGACCGGTTCATGAGTCCAACACATGCATTGGGTCATGCATGGGCACAAGGCATGGGTCATGGCCAAGTTCATTGGGCACGGAACTAGATCGGAACCGGATCTAACGGGCACATTGCTTGGCACAAGGGTCAAGCACAATAACGGGCACACGACCGGGCACGTAGCCGGTCTGTGGCCTAGCTGACGGGCACATTGGCCGATCATGTTCGAGCATGAGACCTAGCTGGCGCGGCTAGCACATAGCCGAGCCCGCGGCCTAGCCATTAGGCTCATGGCTTGGCACATGGCTCGTCCATGGCCTATCCAACTCGACGTAACGATCCGTGGCTGACTCGCGACCGCTCCATGCTCGAGTATCAACGACTCATGGTCGATCCTCGGTTGTCATGTAGCCTCGTGGAATTCAGTATCCCGGAATTCACTCATGGTCATCCGTGACTGATGGATGTCCGTGCGGTATCACCCGCAACCGACACATGCCGACACCGGACTAATCCATAATTATCTCAGGTTGTCCCACTAACGGCCCTTATGGTCAAATGATCAATCCACAGTCATATCACTCTAATCGTCTAGCGTGAGCAGAGAGTCATTCCACTGTCGATCCCTAGGCCAATTCATGGCCAATCTTTCGATCGAACCATAACCAACCATCAGTACACTCGTTCCGACCATAGTGTCTGTTCCATTACCGACCCTCAACTCGGACTACTTGCCCATTCTTTTACCACATACCTTCCGCTTTCTAGGCCCAAATTCGGGGATGTCACAATTCTCCCCCTCTAATAAAATTTCGTCCTCGAAATTTAAACACGTACTTGGTTTCTCGAATAAATGCGGACACTGACGCTTTATGATTTCCTTACCCTCCTAGGTGGCTTCTTCTATGCCATAATGTTGCCATAGGACCTTTACTACAGGAGCAGTTTTATTTCTCAACACTTGCTCTTTACGATCACGATCCGCATAGGCTCCTCAACATAGGACACTCTGCTATCTAATTCGACCTCGTTAAAATTCAACACATATGCCGGATCGGGCTCATACTTTCTCAACATGGATACATAAAACTCGTCATGCACCTGAGCAAGTTTCGGTGGCAATGCCAACCGATAAGCCAAATTCCCTATTCTTTCTAAAATTTCAAAAGGTCTTACGTACCTGGGACTGAGTTTGCATTTCTTTACAAAACACGACACACCCCTTATGGATGACACTTTAAGAAACACGTGGTCGCCTACTTAGAATTCTAAAGGCTTTCTACGTCTATCAGAATAACTCTTCTGTCGGCTTTGGGTAGTTCTCAACTTATCTCTAATCACTTGCGCAACCTCGTTGGTGAGTTGGACTAGCTTTGGACCCGTGACCTTTTCCTCGACCTCATCCCAACAGACTGGAGTTCTGCAAGCTCGATCGTATAATGCTTCGAATGGTACCATTCCGATGCTCTGCTGGTAACTGTTGTCGTATGCAAATTCTATGAGATGCAAATGTTCATCCCAGCTCCCCCTAAAATCAACGATACATGCTCGCAATATATCCTCGAGGGTTTGGATGGTCCTTCCAATTTGACTATTCGTCTGCATGTGATAGGCAGTGCTGTATTGTAACTTGGTTCCCATAGCAATTTGAAGACTCCGCCAAAAAGTTGCCGTAAACTTGGGATTTCGATCCGATGTGATCGTTACTGGAACTCCATGTAGTCGCACAATTTGGCGAACATATAGCTCGGCATAACCTTCCAATGGAAGATCCTTTCTTACCGGAAGAAAATGAGCTGATTTGGTCAATCGATCAACAATCACCCATATTAAGTCATTTCCCCGCTGACTTCTTGGCAATCCCATTACGAAGTTCATTGTGATGTGTTCCCACTTCCATTCAAGAATTTCCAATGGTTGCAATAGTCCTCCGGGCTTGTAGTGTTGAGCCTTGATTTGCTGACACGTTAGGCATTTAGCAACGTGTTTGGCTACGTCCGTCTTCATACCATTCCACCATAAATGCTATCGCAAATTCTGGTACATTTTGGTACTGCCTGGGTGAATACTATAATTACTCTTATGGGCTTCCGTCAAGATTTCTTCTTTAAGTTGTTCATCATTAGGCACGCATAAGCGTTCATTGAACTTCAAGATTCCGTCGTCAGTTATATGAAAATTGGATTTTTTCTGTTCTGCGAGTCCTTTATGAATCTTTTGAATCTCGGGATCTGTCTGTTGTGATGCCTTGGCTTTCAATATGATTTCTGGTTCAATTCTGAGAGCAGCTAATAAACTTTGATGTCGTCCAACTTCAAGTTTGAAATCCAAGTTCCGAGCTTCTTCAAGCAATGCCCATTCTTTGACCAATAATTGAGTAATGGCCGATTTTCGACTAAGAGCGTCGGCAACCTTGTTTGCTTTGCCGAGATGGTACAATATTTCGCAGTCGTAATCCTTAAGAAGTTCCATCCAGCGTCTTTGCCTCATATTCAGCTCTTCTGGAAGAATAGATATTTCAAACTCTGATGATTCGTATAGATGACAAATTGTTCCCCACATAAGTAGTGTCGCCAAATTTTCAAAGCAAATACAATCGCAGCAAGCTCCAAATCATGAGTTGGATAATTCAATTAGTATGGCCTCAATTGTCTCGAGGCATAAGTCGCCACCTTGCCATACTACATCAATACACAGCCTAGCCCTTTATGATAGGCGTCGCTGTATATCTCAAATCCTCCTAGTCCTTTAGGTATAGTCAGAACAGGAGCAGTTGTCAGCCTTTATTTCAATTCTTGAAAACTCCGCTCACACTTGTCAGTCTATTCGAATTTCGTTTCTTTCTTTAGCAATCGCGTTAAAGGAATAGCGATGCTAGATAATCGTTTCACGAACCTTCTGTAGTAACCTGCCAAGCCCAAGAAACTTCGAACTTCTGTGACGGTCGTCGGTCTTGGCCAGTTAATTACCGCTTCTATTTTGGATAGATCCACGGATATGCCTTCTCTTGAAATCACATGGCCTAGAGATACCACGCGAGATAGCCAGAACTCGCACTTATTGAATTTTACATAAAGTGCGTGTTCCCTAAGCGTCTGAAGCACAAATCTCAGATGTTGGTCATGTTCAGCTGCATCTTCGAGTATACCAGGATGTCGTCAATGAAGACTATGACAAAACGATCCAACTATGGCTTGAATACTCGGTTCATCAAATCCATAAAAGTAGCTGGCGCATTTGTCAAGCCAAATGGCATAACGGTGAATTCATAATGGCCGTATCGGGCTTTGAACGCCGTCTTCGGAATATCTTCTTTCTTGATCCTTAGTTGATGATATCCTGACCTCAAGTCGATTTTGGAAAACACGGATGCTCCTTGAAGTTGATCAAATAAATCATCGATTCTCAGGAATGGGTACTTATTTTTTATAGTGACCCTATTTAATTGCCGATAGTCGATATAAAGTCGCAGCGATCTATCTTTCTTCTTCACGAGCAATATTGGTGCACCTCAGGGAGATGCACTTGGACGGATAAATCCATTATCAAGTAACTCTTGCAGTTGTACTTTGAGTTCTTTCAACTCGGTCAAAGCCATCCTATAGGGAGCTTTGGAAATAGGCTCCGTTCCAGGGGCTACTTTAATAGCAAATTCTACTTCTCGTTCCAGAGGTAGGCCTGGTAATTCTTTTGGAAAAACATCCGGAAATTCTTGTACTACCAGTATATCTTCCAGTTTTGGTTCTTCTTCCTTTGACTTATTTTCTATTGTTGCCAGAAATCCTTGACAACTTTTTTCTAAGAGTCAAAATGCTTTCAATGTAGAAATCAGAGGAGTAGAAGATCCTCCTCCATTACCCACAAATATATAGCAGGGATGATCAGATGGATTAAACTGGATTACCTTGCTATAGCAGTCTATATTGGCCCGCTGTCTACTAAGCCAGTCCATGCCTATAATCACGTCAAAATCATACATGGCTAGTACCGCTAGATTTATACTATCTTCCATCCCACCTAGCATAATCTTACACCCTTGGCATCCTAGGGTAGTATGTATTTCATCTTTCATAGGAGTAGAAATACTAAGTGCATTTTCTAATGGTTTCATCTCAAGTTTGGCCAGGCGCACAAATTGCCTAGATACAAATGAATGTGTAGCTCCAGTATCGAATAACGCATATGCAGCACGGTTGTTGAGGAAAATTGTACCTGTAATTACTGCTTCGGAGTTTTCAGCATCTTCTTGAGTAAGTGTATATATTCGTCCTTGAGCTGGAGGACGATCGCCATGATTATCATGAGGCTAAACTCTAGTTGATGCCGTTGCCTGTCTTTGTTGTGAAGGCATTCCCTATCGCCGTTGTAGACAGTCTCTGACCATCTGACCCTGTTGGCTACACCCGAAGCATGCTCCAGTGCGAAGTGGGCACGGAGCATCACCATGTCGCCTCCCGCAACTAGAACAGGTATCAGTAGTTACTCTTGGAAAATTTTGTTTCTAATTCGAAATGAAGGGGCGCTTTCCGTTTGCCAAAGGTCTTTTGCCCGAGTGCTGATTTGCTCGAGGAGCAAAATAATGGGGCTTTGCCAGAGTCACCCTCTCCAGCAAATCCTTATCGATCAGCTGGGCTCGTTCATATAACTCATTATAATCCTTCATGTTTAAAGGTACCAGCTGACTCCGAATATCGGGTTTTAAACCATTCAGGAATCGCTTTGCCCTATCCACCTGGTCTTCAATAATTTAGGGGCGTACCTTGATAGTTGAGCGAATTTTGCCTCGTATTGGTCCATCGTCATATTGTCCTGCCATAGTTGCAGAAATTCCTTCACCTTTCTATCCCGAGCACATTCGGAAAAGTACTTTCCGTTGAATGCCTCGACGAAGGTAGTCCAAGTTACAGTGATAATTTCTGGAAACACGATTTCCTTCGTCACCTTCCACCAATGATTGGCGTTACCCTGTAACTGGTATATTGCCAAGGTCACCTTCTCTTCTTCGGAACATTTTAGCATATCAAAGATCTTTTGCAGCTTGTCTATCCAGGATTCTGCTTCTTCATGATCTCCTGTCCCAACAAATTTTGGGGGTCGCAGTTTCGGGAATTGCTCAACTAACCCATGCATCATACGGTCACCATTCCCATTTCCGTTTGCCATTGCATTCTCGGCATTAGGCAGCCGTTGCTGAACTTGTGTTCCCATCAAATCTCCAACGGTCGCAAGAGCCTGCAGAATTCCATCTATTCGGGGATCTTACTTTGACTTTCCTTTCGAGGTCGTGACCGGGTCCTGAGCATTCATACTACCGCTGGTATTCTACTAAGGCTTTCTACAACGCAAGAATAGGTCAGTCATCAAAAGATTATCAACCAAATGCCTATTTACCAACCAATCAGGTATACAGGCACACAATCACATGCGCGGGGTGATTCCTAACTAACTACCCGAACTTCAGCACACCTTATCACTCCAGGTCTTTATTTCCGCTTGGCTTTCAGAACCGTTTTCCACAATTCGGTGGACAGTTTGGTTATTCTCGTTCTTTAGCCATCCTAGAAGCCTGCCAGGAGCCACTTAATGTTTAGGCCCTTCACCCCGGCCACTTCTATTCAGAAGCCGCTCAATGATCATGTGGTATATACTCTAACGCCATTTCTACCCAGAGGCCACACAATGATCAGGCTTTTTGCCCCGGTGCCACCTCGGTCAGAAGCCGCTCATTGTTCAGGTATTATTGCCCTGGCGCCACTTCATTTTAGAAGCCGCTCAATGTTCAGGCATACATGACCCCGGCGCCACCTTCATCAGAGGCCGCTCACTGATCGTATGGCCCCGATGCCACACCCCACCCTCGTCAAATCGTCCAATTTCAACTTGCCTCTAACTGCACCTATTGGAGGGAAAACCTGCTCTGATACCAAAAACGATACCACTCTCACGTCCCGACACGGAATCAAGATCGATGCTCGATGACCGAACATGATTCGAGCGGAACTGTAACTCGCGGAAATAAGTTAGTGCGTCCCGTTCATTTTAATCAATGCGCAAGCGGAAGCAAGTAGAAACAAACAAGACAACATAAGTAATATGAGCAAACATTGCACATTGTATTTTCATGATATGTGCTTATTGTCACAAGCCTTACTCTCGTGCCAAGCAACCACACACATATATTTTACATGCCCATTTCAAGGGCGATTCCGAAAAACAAGCCAACTATCAAACAAACAAAACTTTGGCTTAGGGTCCCTAACTCCACTATGGCTTCTCGCTTCTCGCTCCTCGGTCATCCCGTTCCCCGTCCGTTCGGCCGTCTCACGCCCCGCCCGTGGCCTGTTCCAGAGCGGGTCCGCCTGTTCTGCCAAACGGCCCGTTGAACCCACGTAGGGGTCCAACCCAATCTCCATTCACGAGGCGATACCATGCCACGTACGGGTGGGGAACCAAGTCCTCATGGCCTTCATCTACCATACATCGTGATCCGACGATAGGCGCGACCTTCTCGAACATCTATTACCGTGAGCGATTTGGCTCTTATCTCTACGGGGTTACCAAATCGAGTCGGGGGAGACGCCATCTTACGGACCTAAAAATAAAAAATAACGGGGAGTGAGTCAGGGAGACTCAATAAGTGAAAACACTAATATCAAGTGAGGATGAAACAATTGCCGTTCACATAAGTTGACTGTTACCGTACTGGTATCGATGGCAAATCAATAGCAAGATTCATGCTACGAAACAACAAAAGAACATCAAGCATAAGCGTCAAGCGAGAACATCACTGGCCAAAGAAAGAACAAGCTATAAATGACCAAGTAACCAAAACGGCCCAAGCAAACCATGTTACAACGAATCGCAACTTCCTTTCCCGATATTAGGAAATTCACTTACTCAACGTAACACTAGAACACGTAAGAAGAAAGAAAGCAAGTGGCATGTGGCTTGAGCACGAAAAAGGCGAGGTCTCGGGCGGGTTTCTAACGTGGCTTCCTAGTGGCCGAACGAAGCAAGAGAAACAATAAGAAGGAACAATAAGAAGGAGAGGATGGTCGGTTATGGGCGTGTGTGTATGTGTGTGGGCATGAGGGGCTCCTTCACGTGAGCTTCTTGCTCCATTTATAGAAAAACCAAGCTTGAAGAAGAAGCAAGGCAATAATAGTAGGGCTTCCAAGTCAAAGAAGCCTTAGTGGCATTAATGAACTATGGCCAAAAGGACACGATGAAGTGCCATTAAGAGACTTTAATGTGGCATTATCCCTTCTTGGTCTCTCTCTCTCTCTCTCTCTCTCTCTCTCTCTCTCTCTCTCTCTCTCTCTCTCTCTCTCTTCCTTGGCCGACTCCCCTCTTGTTTTATGTGTACTATTGGTGACCATGAGTCACCTTGCTGCTTTAAATGAGTTGGACAACTCAACTGGTACCAAATAATGGAGGAGGACACCTAAGCTAAGTCAATAATGGGGGCCTTTAATGGCTTTTAATGGGCATTTGACTTGGTCAACTCTCACCCTCTGAACCGTGAGACTTGTCTAGACTTCCTGAGTATACTGGTTTCACTCGCAAATGACTCGGGCCAATCAGTTTACACAAAATCGATTAATCAATACTCAATTCGCAATCCCACATCATACTTATTATGCTAATTTTTCAAGGATTTTCCACGCTTGGTATACTCGTTCGATCCGAGGTTTAGTGTAGAAAGACCTCCACATATGGCCAAGTATGACCAATCAAAGGTTTAAGTCTATTGGTGTCCAATTTGGGCCAACCGGATTGCCTAGGCGTGTAGCCTATCTGATCGGACCTGACTGGACGCATGCACGGGCGCATGGCCGAGCACATGGCATGGCGTGTGGCCAAGCGTACGGGTGCGGTGTCAAGTTGCACGAGCGACACGCCGAGCATGACGCCAAGCCACATGGGTAAGGGGCCAGTTCATGGGTCCAACACATGCATTGGGTCATGCATGGGCACAAGGCATGGCTCAAGGCCAAGTTCATTAGGCATAGAACTAGATCGGAGCCGGATCTGATGGGTACATTGCTTGGCACAAGGGTCGGGCACATTGCCTGGCACAAGGGTCAGGCACAATGACTGGCACATGAACGGGCACGTAGCCAGTCCGTGGCCTAGCTGACGGGCATATTGGCCGGTCATGTCCGGGCACGAGACCTAGCCGGCACGGCTGGCACCTAGCCGAGCCCGCGACCTAGCCATTAGGCTCATGGCCTGGCACATGGCTCGTCCAAGGCCTATCCAACTCGACGCAACGATCCGTGGCCGACTTGCGACCGGGCTACGCTTGAGTATCAATGATTCATGATCGATGCTCGGTTGTCATGTAGCCTCGTGAAATTTAGTGTCCCAGAATTCTCTAATGGTCATCCGTGACCGATGCATGTCCATGTGGTATCACCCGCGACCGACACATACCGACAACGGACTGATCCATAGTTATCCCGGACCGTCCCACTAACGGCCCTTATGGTCGAAGGGTCAATCCACAATCATATCTCTCTAATCATCTGGCGTGAGCAGGGAGTCATTTCACTGTCGATCCCTAGACCAATTCATGGACAATCTTTCGATCGAACCATGACCAACCATCAGTACACTCATTCCGACCATAGTGTCTATTCCATTACCGACCCTCGACTCGGACTACTTGCCCATTCTTTTACCACATACCTTCGGCTTCCCAGGCCCAAATTCAGGGATGTCATAATCTCTTTCCACTGCTTTCGTACCAAAACACCACTAAACCAAATCCAACTCGTTCAATATGGGTATTTTGACCACTAAAAACAACTAATATAAATAAAAACAACAAACGAAAAGGCTAATCTTGTTGCTGCGCGATCAAAGCTCCTAGCGTCCACAGAGAGAGAGACAAAAGAGAGAAACGAAGAAGAGAATGGAGAAAGTGGGAGAAGCAATGGGCGAAAGATTAAAATTTGAGGGCAAAATCGGAGTCGCTGAATGACAGAGAGGTGCTCTTCCGTTCCTATTTACTAAATATGAACGGGTAATAATTTTGGTGAATGCGTTTGACTTTCAACTCTTTGGCCATAATAAAAAAATTCGCCTCTTTGCATATAATGGCTTACTTAAAATGGATATCAAAAGAGAAGAAGAAGAGTGAGATAGGTATTCTACCAAATAAAGAAAAAAGAAGTCGGAGACCGGAAGTACAAAAAAAAAGAGAAAAGGAAAAAGAATGACTTTCTTATCTAGGAGCATGATTATAAGCTAAGCTCCATCGATTGAAAAGAAAGGAAAAAGAAGACAGGCTCCATCAAGAAAACAACTTTGAAGTTCGGACATTTTGTACTACTAATTCAACAAATACTCGAAAAAGAACGAAAATTAAGAGAAAAACTAACCGTTCACACGTTCCCCTCTTGCATTCTTGTTATAAAACAGGCATTATCACAATTTAAACATGAAAAATTAACCTTTCACACATTCCCCTCCTGCACTCACCATCATTGTCCCTTCCAAAAAGGTAACCAATCCGTTCTTCTAGCGAAACTCTTCTCCCTCTTCTCCGTCGACTACTTGGACCCCAAGAGGCTCCACCAGATGTTTCATAACATTCAACAATCCCCTCATATATGCAATTTTCAATTCCAACATATGTTTTTCAACAACCTACTTTTCAATATGAATTCTCATGCAATAGAGTCCCCCTCTTGCCTTTGAAACATCATACATATGTATCAAAAAGTATAAAATGAATATATATGTATTATCTTCACGTGAGAAGAAATATGAAGCAAATATCTTATGTTTTTTAGCCAGTTTCAAGATTCTTTAAGCTTTATGTAACTTTAGAGTAGACAATTCGAGTGGACAATTGTCCAAGGCATTCTAAGGTAAAAAAGAAATTAGCTTGCAATCAACATTCCATTTATGAAGATCACAGAAGCGGAAACCCGTGATATTATGAGATTTTGATGTCTCGTTACTACCTCCACTATATTCGTCAAATTGGACACTTTCTCTCTCTCACTCTTTTTTGGGCAGAAAGGGCGTGTTCCACTCTTCACGGTGATCTCTTTCCACTGCTTTCATACTAGAACACCGCTAAACCAGATCCAACTCATTCAATATGGGTATCTTGACAACTAAAAATAACCAATAGAACTGAAAGCAACAAACAAAAAGACTAACCTTACTGTTGCGTAATAAAAGTTCCCAGCATC